GTACTGGAATAGACATTTTGGTCTGCAGTAATAACCCGAATTGGACCAATCATGAGAAGACCGTGAACTGTTACTTCTATTCCCGGAGTGGATGTCGTGAAGGCGAGAATTGCAGATTCCGGCATGATCCTGCGAAACGGAAAGTAAAAAGGTTTCGGGACGAAACATCCTTAAGGAGGGGGCAGTGTAGTGACCGCGAGCGTGATTGTGTGCGATCGGGCATACGTGTGTGTGAGCGGCTTATCGATTTGCCGACTAGCCGCGGGCGCTTTTCTTCATGTGCGCCGTATCTGTAGACGTGTGTATCGTACCTGCGTTCCGGGAAAACAATTAAACCGTTGAAAGAAAGCGAGACTTCTCTGGAAGGCTGAAGAACGTTCCCGAAAGGAGGCAAGGGAGTATAAAAAGGAAGAGACGATCGCCGAAGGGGAGTAGAAATATATTAGTCTTTAGGAAGAACCCCTTCTTCATACCTGCCTCTTCCAATACATCTATTTTTCTTCTCACTACTATTCTCTTTAGATGTATTTTCTGTAACCTTTGAAGTTGTAGCCAAACAATTTATCGCATCACTTTGAAGAGATGTTTCTTTTGTATGATTTTTTGATAACTGTCTTAGAACATGTTCCGAAAGAGGAATATGTTCTTCATCATCATTGATTTCAGATTCGGAACTGTAATAGATGTCATCCTTCAGCTCAATGTCATTTATATTTCCATGAAAGTGGTGGCCTTTTTCCTTATCCAACAGTAATAGAATTTTTGCCACTTTTGCCGTCTGGTAAATATCCTGCGGCAATCTAAAATTAAAACGATAAATGATATAGTAAAATAGAGTTCAGCATATGAAGAAATATGCAACTTCGCTGTCACTTAGCCGACTTCGTAGTTTCTATTATTTCTGGATTTCAATGGTTTAGCAGACCCATTAAACTCGATTTAAAAAGAATGGGATATTGAGATAGGTACCTATAAAATTCAGCATGCGTTTTAGGTGTGTGGCCCATAAACTTGGCAATTTGTTCCATATCGTTTTCGTCCATACTCAATAGCTGCAAAGTAGTAGCTATATGCTTCCTAAACTTTGTTGAAGTTAAAACAGATGGGTTTTCAGCCCCGCATTCCTTAGCAAGGCGACTTATTACATTGGTACCACTGATCCATCTGTTTATCGATCCGGGGTTGGCAAATAAATATAGATTCGATTTAGGTACATTATCGCTTTTCTTTCTTACGTTGAGTAAGCACGATACGAATTTCTGGAGTCGATTCGAAAACAGTATCGGCACTGGCTTAGAGCCCTTACCACTAGTTACCACACGTTTAAATTTTTTAAACAGTAACCTAACCTAATATGTTTCTGACTAGACCTACATGCCTGAGAAGGTGTACTACAAACCTATCTCGCCTATTTATTATTGACTTCCAGTTCTCTGTTCTCCTATTCTTTCTAATACCTCATTTCTAACCTTCTCTATCCACGGTATCCTCATCATTCGCCTAAAACCAGATTTCGAACACTTCTAACCTTTTATTAAAAAAAAATTAATATTAATGATATACAACGAGCGGTTTAACAATCACCGTCTGAAAAATTAAGGCGAGAGTTACACAAGTTAAACAACAAAAAAAAATCAATAAAACCTAAGACCCAAAATGGAGTTAATAAAGGTTCGGCTTTATGGAGCATGGTCGAAATCAACGGTTATGTTAGAATCGCCGCTATGGATTCTAATAAAACCTAATAGTTAAAAAGTTAACACAGAATACCCTATAAAATGTCTTTAATGAAAACATTCTTGTAAAATGGTGAGAATAGAAGGTGCCAATTTTTGAAACTTATCCATAATATTACGAATACAATACCATTTCATGAAAATTTGTTTTAGGAACGTATTAATTGTTTCACATCAGGTGATGATTGTGTTCCTACAATAAACTTTCTTGAAAGTTTTGGTAATTTAATTAGTTACATAATCCTTCTATCTCATAAATCATTGATCGTATTTCAATGAAATGTCCTGCACTTGACTAAAGTTCAGTTAAATTACCAGCTCGAATGCACAATATTGAGCTCATTCAAAAATAGTGTTGTTTGTTTATCGATATAGTACTATAAAGTAACAATAGAAACTTTTACCAGTACATCTTCAGAATATGTAAGTGTTAATTTTGCTTGACGGTTAGAATCTCGATCAGTGGAAGGCATACAAACACTTTGCTAAAAAATCAAAATTAAAAATAAACCATTTCATGACTATAAAAAAATACCAAATTTGTTTCAAAAGAACTACTTTGTGATTTAAGGTTTATGACAGGATCCTAAAAAGCAAAACATTTGAAAAAACGCTGGAAATTGTGTTCTATACAGAGATTAGTGTTTTCAACCAAATTCTATTTTATCTGGGTGTGATATTACCTTTTCCCAATCAACTACATCGTTCATTAGTTCGATTTCGGGCGAAGTGTTTGTATTTAAAAGCGCTTCTATTTCACTCGCAGACACGGTAATCTGCAAAACATATTAAATAACTCAAAACATTTTAAACTAGAAAGATTGTTTTGTTACTAGTGATTGAGGCGAGATTTCACTTGACAAGTCGTCAATCAGATTATTTAGATCGAAATATTGAGGCGTATTAGGTGAATCAGACGATGGAACGTATTCGCTACCGGAACTTTCAAAAACAGAGCAATCATCTTCAGTTTCATGTGAACTATTAAAAATTTTTTTTTTCGTACATTCCCTTATAGGCCTGTCACTAAAAGAAGCAACTTCTAGGTCTCCAACATCAGAAACCAATGCTAAAAATTAGTGTTTTCATCAAATCGTTAGGAAGTAACTATACAAAAAAGATATGCATGATCGATAAGAAAAATGAGAGACAAGAATTTTAATTTTGTTGTATATTATGAGAGAATTTTATTTACTTATAATTTAGTGTTTCAGCCATAAACTTCGGTCATCCTATGAACAAAATTAATTAAAAGAATTAAATGTATAAAAATATATATCAGTCAATTGCTTAATACTACTAACTACTATCAGACCATAACAATGTTGTTTTCTGTAAGATCAGTGTAGGATTAGACTATTAGCTTTTATGTTTAATAATACTTTTAATTATTTTGAAGAATTTGGTTTGTAATCTATTACTGATTTGTGAAAAAATGTGTTAGGTATTTAAAAGTCTGTGTATGATATTGTTTATAGCCTGAAGATGACCAAAATTGACAAAATTCCCGAAACGGCCCATAACTACAGTATGGTACACAATCAACTAATTTAATTTATTTAAACTTCAGGTAAATTTAAATTGACTGAGATGATATCCTTTGAAACGTCCAAGGATTAACATCTGCTAATTTAACAAGATATTTGTACAAATTCGCATATTAGTCCAAGCTTGTCAAATCAATGCTGACAAATTTCGAACAATCATGAAGGTGTATCAACCTACCTATTTTTTCTTGTTTGACTAATTCCAAGATAAATTTAGTCCTGTCTCCCATATTAAATATTCGGCATCAATTGCTTAGGTGATGCTAAATAAGGCAACGTCGCCGGGCGTCGTAGGATCCACAGAATAAACACTATANTCGGGAATCGAACCCGGGACCTTTGGTTTTACGTACCACTGCTTCGACCACTAAGCTACAAGAGGTGGCAACAGCAACAGCGGGTTCGATTCGGGCGTCGTATAGGTAGTTAGGTACGTGTATATATATATATATTCAAATGTTATTTACAAATAAACTAAAAATCAGCTCTGCACGATCAGTATAATAGTAATAACGTTCCCTTCAATCGAAGTTCATTTTGACATAGATCATGGCAATGAAAATGTGCTTATAGTTCATTTTGAGGTATACGGTTCAATAATACATATATATATCAATGTACATATATTAAATATACATATTTTTTTAAATTTGGTACCTATTAAAAATGACTAGCGCCTTCATCAATTTTACGCAATACTTAATATTTATAAGTGTAATCGTCATAAATATATAGGTTTTTAGAACATTTTCCTTCTTTTTATTAATTTGTCTATTTCAATCACTCCTATAGTACAGTTAATCTAACGAATTTTAATATTGCTCTGATTTACTTAGTACTACGGAGGCGTAGAAGGGCCAAACATAATGTTTTTTTTTTGAAATATCGATTTGCAAGTCGAAATTTCAAAAACAAAAATATCTGCTTCAGCCCTTCTTGAGTTATAAATGGTGTAACTAAGACAACTTATATATATATATATATATAGATGCTTCTACTCTTAAGCTTCCTGACGCTCGTAAAAATACCACCAAAATGGTTTTTTGAATAGACGGACAATGTACTTAGGCACTGTAAATATGAATGTTCTTGGGCTCTAGAACGGGTCGATTTTAAGCTTATTTTATGTTCTGTCAGTAATATCAGAAAAGTTTTGGAAGCATTTTGGTAAAAAGGCCAAGCAGCCTCAAGAATCAACGCGGCTAACTTCAAATGACCATGAAAGCCTGAAAAGTGTCAATAACAACTGATGTATTCTATTCGTGTGTGAACATTTACTATCATTAGCGCAGTTTCTTTGCAATTTAAACGACAAGATTTACTGACATTTTGTTTCCACGTGTCTAATAATATTCTGAATACAGACAGTTTTTTAAATAAAACAATACCACATGCGTGCTTTAAATGACAAATTTCACAAACCTTTTGTGATGAGCAAACAAAATCTCAATTATAAAATTCTTAGACAAAGATATTGGTTGTGATAATAGTATAAACATTTCACAAGAATAAATGCTTTTCACATTTACTACTTATCAAAATAAAAGTGTACTTAAATTGACTGCAATTGACACAGTCTGCATTATAATTAGACCTTTAAACTCTCGTTTGAGTTTCCTTAATAGTTAGTTTAATATCTAACTATAACATTCTAAACGCATTTTATGCGTACACATTCCGACAGCGGAGTCATTTAATGTCTGCGAATTCTTTACAGGTTACAATGGCAAAATCGACTACAGCATAACTTCTGGTAATGAACGTGATGAATTCCAGATTACACCAAACGGTACAATCATCACGAAGAAGGAACTTGATAGGGAAACGCAAGGAATCTACAATCTGGTCGTAACCGCCACCGATGAAGCTAAACAACCAGAACAAAGACTGTCATCAACAGTTCAGGTAAGCAAAATTTCATCGCATTTTCAATTGCTGATGTAGAAGATTGAAGAGATTGATAGAAATTTTTTTAATTATGTTTCCTAAATATACGTATATGACACAGTGTTTTAAGGTGATCCGTTGAATACTACTCAAGGTTACGATAAACATTTATTTTTAAATTTAAGAGTGAACTACACAATTGATAATATATGAAACCCTGATTAAAAATAAATAAATTATAATCACTCGATTGGCTTTAGTAACAAACAGCTGACGGCATTTTTAGCAGCAACTCGTACAAGATTCTGCTTGAATCATAGAGATAATAGAGTAGAGTAGGCAAGCTGATTGAAAATGTGTTTCTTAAAAAGAATGAAACAGATGATAAAGGGACTTCCCCTCTGTTGTTTTTTTGTCTCTGTTTTTGTTTCTACACATTCAGTGTTTTCTGCGTCTATTGTGAAGAACCTAAGCTTTGAAGTAGCTGTGGAGGTCACAAACCGCGCCTATTTTAAGCTTAGATAGCGGTCAGAAATCGCAGTTATGTTCAGCTTAGAAGGAGCTGTGGAAGTCAGGAAGTGCGACTGTGTTAAACTTAGAGGGAATTGTGAAGACCAGGAAGCGCGGTGATGTTAAGCTTAGAAGGAACTGTGGAAGTCAGGAACCGCGGTTACGTTAAGATTGGAAGGAGCTGTAGAGATCTAACGGGAAGAGAAATTTCAGATGATTGTAATCTGTCTTTTGAAGCACTCAAAACAAATTATAAGTTATTCCATATCTGCACTTATGCTCTAAAATATGCGCAGGCAAAAGAAGACTGCTAGATGTACATTTGTGGAGGATCCGAGGATCTAACAAAATAATTTAAGCTACAAGATCTTTATTTTATGAGGTGCTTGAATTACAATCAAACCACTTAGAAGCTGATTGAAGAATGTTTTCTCACATATTTCAAGCAGTAAGAATTAAATCTATTATTATCCTCGGCGCTAATATAGATGTATTCAGTTTATTGTTAGCAATCTATTACTGGAAAGAACTGGTAAATATTGGGTGGTGACTAGATCTATGATTGAACGGTCCTTCTACAAAGAAATATTTTCTAGGATGCCATTCGATTGCCAAATTTGTAGATAAAAAAACATATGTAATAATTTGACAGCATTACACGCTTAAGTGGTTGCAGTACTACCAGTAAATTTGACAGTAAAATACAATGTTTGAAAGCTACAACTGAGGGTTTTTGTACAAATAGTCTTTTTATCTTTATGACCAAGGGCGGCCTTTGGGAGTGGCGAACAGGGCAACCGCCCGGGATCTCGCTCTTGCAGGTGCCTCTCAAACTCTCGCAACAATCTAATTAGAAAAATATTAGGTAGTAATAGTATGTACTACTAATGTTTATTTGAATTTCTTAATAGTCTTAACAGAAGCCGCAAATTTGCTATCTTTGTCTTTATCAATTTTTTTTAATTTTCGATAAACAATTTTAAAACTGTAAACTTATTTATGAATCACTTTGCATTTTTTAAGTATCATCATTAAAATTAATTCAACAAAGACGAGGGCTTCACAAAAATTTACCCTCCTGGAACATTCCAANGCCTCGCGCACTCGCGCAACAATCTAATTAGAAAAATATTAGGTAGTAATAGTACATACTACTAATGTTTATTTGAATTTCTTAATAGTCTTAAAAGAAACTGCAAATTTGCTATCTTTGTCATTTTTTTTTAATTTTTGATAAACAATTTTAAAACTGTAAACTTATTTATGAATCACTTTGCATTTTTTAAGTATCATCATTAAAATTAATTCAACAAAGACGAGGGCTTCACAAAAATTTACCCTCCTGGAACATTCCAATGACTAAGGCCGCCCCTGTTTGTGACAGCTTGACCTAAATAATGAGAAATTAAAACAGTTGGATATAGTTTGTACATATCCTTTTTTTTCAAAAAAAAGTCTGCTGATGAACTACGACATAAACAGAATTCTTAAAACATAGGTTTCGGATTATTTAATTTCAATGAAACTACGCTTTACATTTGCATTTGTTAAGGGCTACAGTACAAAAAATTATGTGGAAAAAAGCTTATCAAGCACAATTGCAATCCATGATTACTGTTTGTTTGGATATGAAAAGATTAAGCGAAACTTACGTCTACAACAAACGACTAAGCCGTAAATGTACGTCACATTGTCATTCAGTGTTCTATTTGTTTTTTATTACAATGAAGAAATTATTACCGGTCTTGTTACCAATTGATCAATACTAATCAATACCAATCAGATATGCTGAACACATTAAACGCTTGTGCATATGTGTATTTTTATGTTTTCGTACAAATAATTAATCGAAAAGACAACATATTATGTACAAATTAATAATTGAAGCACAGAAGAGATTATCAAGTGTCATTAGTGATGTACGATGGTGTATGGTACACTGTAAACTACATACACATGGCTTCGATGGTACTGCTGCTACTGTAAAGTACATCAACAGAAGCAGAAGCAGCTTCTTCGGTCATTACTAAGTAAACCATTACAGCTTCTTAACAAATGCTGGAATACATTTCGAATGGTGTTTTTAACGTGCACACGGCCTACTACTACTGTGTTGTTGTGTAAAAAGCACGAAGGCGAACAGAACAGTCCAGACACAAAAACAACAACGAGGAAACTTCTTCGAGAGAGAAAGAGTGTAAACACTTGACACAAAACAAACTAAGTTATGCCACCTTCTCGAAATTTTACATTGATTGCACAGACGGATTCTTTTCTGATTTGCTTATAAAGAATGAGTAAATATGACGAGTGAGCAGTGAACAGTAGGCGCAAAAAATAATATTAAAATGAAAGACGAACCGGTTTACATACTTTACCATAATTAAAACCGTTACATGAGGCACGAATAACGAGAATATACAAAACTCGTACTTATAAGTATTAACATAACATCAGGTTTAGTTCTTCAACAAACTAAAACATAAAAAAAGGAAGCGTGTATATATGGTGATTAGATAAAGTTAAGGTACAAATTAAAGGATATTTTGAAGAAAATATGGAAAGGTGAAGCATTCCTAAAGGGATGCAAAGAAGGAACTACATGCGCAATTTACAAGGTGGAAATAGCGACCATTCAAAAAACTATAGATATATTACTCTTATATAAAGTATAAGTCCACGTACATATTAGAAAACAGTATAAGAGCAGCTGAAGAATAAATATATCAACCCGCTACTTATCTATTAAGAAAGGTTGTAACGGATATCCGCATCCGCAACTGCGGATGATCCACACGAATTTAGCGGATGTTTGTTGTGTCACAATGCTACAACAGAAATAACAAATAAAAAATAACTGTATGTCTTTCACTCTTGTACATTTACAGGTAACAATAACGATCATATAAACAAATAAATTGTAAAACATCTCAGATATTGTGTTATATTAATTTATTAGCAGCTAATACAGCTGTATTTTTCACTTACCTTCGGTTAATGGTTGCGATCTAATTAAATGTTAAAAAGATCATACTTAATCAGAATTATAAAAATAAAGAAAGATGAAGAAAATGTGAAGCAAATTCTGTGGCGTTATTTTTCCAAAATTAATAATGTAATAGGTGTAGCCTTTTTACAGAAATTTGAATAGGTGAATAATAGTGCAGTAAATATTTGGTAATGGCGGCTGTTGAATACTCAAGTGTTTAAGTTTTGTGTTTATTTATTCTTTTAAATAAAGTAGTTAGAAAGACATTTTTTTTGTTTGGGAATGGACCGAGTTCACAAAATGCATGAAAGCAAAAAGGAAAAAGAAATATCTTCATCTTTATCCATATTTTTATTATCATCCGTATTCGCAAATGTAGTACAGTGTAAACTCTTTATAACGTATTTTCATGATCCTAATCTGCAAACTTAACCTTACTAAAGTTCGCTTTCTCATCCACATCCATTAAAACACATCCGTTACAACCTTGATAACAATAATTGATGGCAAACGACTACATATAATCTTGTAAAAAATACTTCTCCATTTAGATTCAGAAGATATGTTTAGTAAAAAAAACCTTTAGCATTAAATACGACAAAATCCAAAGTGCTAGTATACAGTAAAAAAATACAATGAAAATGGAATGGATATGGGGTGAAAACCCAGAAGATACATTAAAAGAAACAATACTTTATTAAACAAAATATTAGTAAAAGAATGCTAAAGTTTAATGTTATGGTGAAAAGTATTCTATTATATGCAGTAGAAATCGAAGAGTATATGAGGTTTACATTTAGACATATACGCACTTCAGGTTATATAGTTAAAGAAGGAACATAGTTTTATGAAATACGATTTAAAGGTAAAAAAGGAAAAAAGACTTCGCAATTTTGAAAGAATGTACAAAATTCATGGAATCCAAGAAAAGAAATTTATGCAAAGATATGGGCAGATATAAGATAATTAAGGAGAGAAGAAATCGGTAAAAACATAATTGAAAAAGTGGAAAAAGAAGAAAATAGAGCCGATGGAACAAAAAAAAAAAGAAATAATATGAAAGCCAAGATACATTAAAAACTATTTAAATTGTGAAAAGGAAAAAGAAACAGCGGAACATTATGAAATACATCAAGGATAGGCGAAAGCATGAAAAATTAATGGCAAGGTCATAAAAGAGGGGTTGAGTAGTGAAACTAATGTTTAGTAGATAACAATCAAATAATAATAGTGTCAAGTCGTAAGCGAAAGATTCATCGCGAAAGGGAATTCAATATTCTAATTAAAAAATTGGTTTAATTAATTTCACATTTTTTTCTAAATTGTTCGTTGCCCAAGAAAAAAAAAATAAAATATTTTTTTATTTCTTCCAGGTCACCATAATCCTAAAGGACGTTAACGACATGTCTCCAGAATTCATTACTCCCAATGAAACTTCGGTTTCAGAAAATATTCCTATCAATACCGTTGTAATGGCCATAAAAGCCATAGACAAAGACGAAGGACGAAACGGGTAAGAATACTTAAAACGAATAATAATCAAAAATGTTACAAACAGTCGAGATTTTACGGTCTTTTTATATTTTCATTATAGATACATAGAATATTCACTTTCTGGAGATTCAAATACGAACGGTGTATTTTCTTTGGGTCCAATTGATGGCCTCTTAAGGGTGGCTGGTAAAATAGATAGAGAGCTCAAGAATAATTACACACTGGTAGTAACAGCTAAAGATAGAGGAGAAATTCCGCGCACAAGTCAAACTAAAATTTTCGTTAAAATTCTCGACGAAAATGACAACAGCCCCGTGTTCGATCCTAAACAGTATAGCGCATCAGTCGCTGAAAACGCTTCAATTGGGGCAAGTGTACTTCAGGTAAATATCTGTTAATTAAGCGATTGGACGACTGACTTGAAAATTGTTGATTAGAACTAAGTAAATTATTTTTTTTATAGGTTTCTGCAACCGATATTGATGATGGCCTAAACGGTAAAGTCAGATTTTCTATCATTTCGGGAGATACAAACAGGGATTTCAGCATTGCAGAAGATTCTGGAGCTGTGAGGGTGGCAAAAAATCTCAACTTCGAACGCGAATCTCGTTACGTTATCACCGTACAGGCGGAAGATTGTGCTGGTGACATTCACGATAACATCATCAGAACGGACACTGCAGATATCGTCATTTCAGGTATTTTTCGTATAGAACATTGAACTAAAATATTTAATGATCCATATTAACATAAACAACAAGAGTATACAAGGTGTTTCTGAAACAAGTAGCATACTTTGGGATAAGTAAAGTAGCATGATTAAGGGACAAAAAAAATTGAAAGAAAACTAGACGAAGTTGCAAACCGAAGCCGGCTCTGGTCGTGAATTGGCAACTTATAGAGAAATTGCGATAACAACTCAGAAACTATCGGATGAAAAATATAAACAGTGACGGTTGTAGAATGTTTAATAAAGCAAATAGCAACAGCTTACTATTACGTTACCAAACATAATAATCTTTAACAGCCCATTATGATAAAAATTAATTAAATAACTATTTTGTTCATCGCTGGTAGTATGCAGTACTATTTAAAGCAGAGCCGGGCAAACTCGGCTCTTTTGACTCCTGAGTGCTCCTCAAGGTTAACCAAGTAACTCCTCATCGATCCTGCGAGTGCGATTGAGATGGTTCTTTCCTTTTCTTATCCCTTCTATTTCGTAGGTGAGTCCCCTCTTCCATAGCCAAACCCAATAGTTTTGCGAACGTAGTAACGAAAATTTTCGTAGGTATTATTTAAGTTGCGAGAGTGAAAATGAAAGGGCTTGATATGGGAGTGGAAGGGAGAAGAAAAAGACAAAACAAAATTATTCAATACTGCTTACTCTCTCGTACCCATTGAAGGGTATGGAGTGACTCAAACTAACCTCATGTAGCGGCTCCTGCGAAGTTAAAGTTTGCCCGGCTCTGATTTAAAGTACACCCTAACATGATATTGAAAACACAAAAGGAAAAAGTAACGTTATGCAAACTTTAATATGTAAAGTAATATCATCTGAATAGTAATAATCTAATATATAATATAATCTAATCTAACAAATAACAAATAATACACGAGCACAAAAACACAAAAGAAATACAACACGGATGCTGTTATATAGCAGATAATTGAATGCGGTGTTGCAACATCATATTTCCTTACGCGATCTTACCAGGGCCGGGCTATCCCTTGCCTGTACCTTTAAATACGTTTTTCTCGAAAACGGTGGACTTTGGAATCACAAAACTTTACTTAATTTTCTTGTTTTATAGTGCTGTATCACCTCACGCAAGCTTGCTACTTATTTCATACACATACACTCTGTATATATATAATTCAAAGTTTGAAGTTTTGTTGCCTTTCTGTTTATTAGAATACGTTTAATCAAAAATTTAATTGAAGTATGGGATCTTTGTACTGACTAACATTAATACTTTCTTTAGCAGGAAGATTTTATTTAAAAATCGCATACAATGTCTAATTAATGTTGAAATATGCTACACTCTTTGAGAATATAACATCTAATTATCGTTATTAAACGTACTAGTGTTACATTGAACATTTTAAGATGAGCTGTGCACACAAAAGAAGTCTATTAGGTAAACTATAGCCGTATGATTTCTACAAATTTTTTATAAAATTTAATAAGTGTTCTGAACAATGCATCATATGAATGGGTATTCATCCTTCTCTGCGATCCGTAATGTGAACTAGGCATAGCGCAAATCGACCATCTGATAATAGTTAGGAAAGCATTCAAAAGGATAGTTCTATGTAGGGCAAATTGAGTGTTCTGTTAACATACCTTTTTTTGCTGTATAGTTTGAATAAAAATAGTTAATAGGATGCATTTTTTCGACCCTTAGCTGTCTTTAGGCATATAGACTTATAGTCTACACCCCTGGGTCAAAGAAAACTTATGAGTTCAAATGTGTATGCATTTATAATTTTTCAACTACAAAATTATTTAAATAATTTAATCGTTAAAATTGATTGTGAGCGACAGGGAATTCTGAAACTTATTTTTAATGCAATAAATATTTTTTTATGTAAAATTCGAATTTTTAAAATAACGACGACAATTTCGTCGCTCTGTCCGAAAGTCGTAACAAGCAACTATATAATTTAAAATTTTAGTAAATATACATGCCCATAATTTATATAGCGACAAAACAAAAAAAAAACAATTGCATGGTTTTATGAAACCACGATGCAAATGAAACTTTTCGCATTGTAGGCATTAAAATGTAAATTTTCGGAAAGTTATTCGATTTAGGGTAGTAAAATTAAAATCGCGTTCTTAATTTTATCTTAATGATTGGAAAATGGGAATGATAATGGGAAATAAATAGTAGACAAAATATCCAACTATAAATTTTAATTTGAATCTGCGTATGAGAGTACGGAATAGATAATAAATACAATCATTTAGATGATAGACGCATGTTAAAAACTGAGAACAATGTTTATTTAAATCATTCAATAATTTTGAAGTTCAGTTATTTTATCAATAATTTCATCTTCGATTCAGTCTATAAATGTAATTGTCATGCACTTGCACGAATGAATGAGAATATAAATGCTACACGGTTAGTTCCTACAAGCCATGGGCGCCACCATATTGAACTTGGCTGATCTGCCGAGCGCCTTTCGGTTTTACCCCTACTCCGCGGCCGGCTGTAATGCGACATGCGATTGATGGACGAAATTTGAGGCTATGTAATAAAAGTTTCACTTTAATGTCACAATATCAGCTTCTATCAATATTATTTACATTTTATCTACACTTCTATATTCAGGGGTACTTCTTCCATTTTTATACCTCTTTTACACTATCAGTTTCAATACTGTCTTTTTCTTTAGTAAATAAACAGTAGTTTGTCTTTTGCGTATGATCAAGATCGATCGTTTTCTATACGCGACGTACTGCTTTCACATTGTAAGGCAGACTTCACACCGAAGTAACATACCGCGTAGCGTAGCATGATGCGTGACTAGTAACACGTAACGTGGCAAAGAAGATGCAGCCATCAAGGTAGCAACCGCATAGATGTCACCCAAAGTTATATGGTTCCACATTTGACGGCAAATGTAAATGAACACAGCCTGTTTATTATTTCAAAGCAATTGAATTTTAATTTCGTCTTTTTTTATTTCTAATGCAAATTGCACATTACAATCCGGCGTATCTATCATCTTATAAATAATAATACAGTACACATGCATTACCCTCGAACTACTACGAACATTAGGGTCAGACTGCACGGGAACTAGAGGTGGTAAATGTATCGCTGAACCTGTCTTTGCAAGTGGCATCATCTATGCTACATGCTACAACACTATTACTTCACATCACTATGTACATCAGCATTCGCATAGGTGTGTTTTAAATTTTGTCGCTGCTGTTTGGCATGCCACATAGTACGTTACATGCATTTGCTACTTCGATGTGAAATTGGGCTAATACGGTCAGTAACGCAGTCGTTGTCGCCATTTGTGCTATCGATTCTTCCGTTTAAGATGTATCTAATATAACTGCCGTGCCCTGGCTGACAAAACGACGAAGAGAAAGGCGAAACAAGAAGAAATCATGGGTGCATGCTCTATAACTGGCGTTAGTAAAAAGCACTTATCGGGTGTGTTTGTTATCCTATTATACTTCATTTACTTTCTGTAGCGATGTGCCCCTTCCAATGTTTTGGATGCGCGCTCGCAAAATCGTAGGTAGGGAGAAAAAAGCTCATTATACTCTTGACTCTTGTTCATTAAACGTACTTTTTCATACAGTACCTGTCAAAAGTTTTGTTCAATCATGAATAGTAGTGCGAGTCGAAAACAAGCGTTAAAGCCTTTAATATGTCTTCAAATATAAATAAACATCTCGTTGATATTTTCAGTAGTAAATGGTACCAATAACAGCACATTTGAGCAATGCAATTGTAGTGAATAAAATGGTCAATTTTTCCGTGCAGTACTGTATGGATTATACGCTCCTCACCAATTAAGATTTTGGCCGAGAGTTGTCTCCTTCCTTTTCTGGCCTAGTGCTGTTCTTGTCTACTCTGCGCCGGTCAAACTGAAGGTCACATCGCTACAGAAAGTAAACGAAGTATATATTGGTGATTGACGATGAGCAGTACTCTACACCTACTCTTGTATGCTATAAAGTAAAACTTGCAACAGGGCAGGATGAGTTTAGTATGCGACTAACCTTCAGTTCTTATGTTGACCTACTCGCTATAAACAATTACTCGTGTGCGTGCTAACAATACGCTAAGGCACTGAGTGACGTATGCCCCTTGTGGCAAATCAAACGGGCCGATCATGCTCAGTATAGTTTTGTAAATATTCGGATAATACAGAATCGGATTAAATTGATATTAGAAATAATCATCCGAATATGTATTACCTACCAATATGACGTACTTTTATTTCCAATGGATACATGGAAACTATAAAGGGAAACGGAACGGCTCGGCTCGCCTCGGCAATCGAATTTATTGCTACTTTGCAACGTACTACCTATTTGCGAATACATTAATACATGGAAATCGTTTGGGTTAATTTATTATTCTTTTTGCAAAGCTAATTTGTCCTGATATCGCGTAAGACCAAAAGAAAAGAAAATTATAACTTCTTTGCATTTACATTAAAGTATTATGCGCAAATACTATCCCTAATTTCTGCGTTTACAGCTTGTATATCAATTAATAATTCAAATAATACTATATTGCATGGGGTGCTGCCGACGTTGGTTGTCCAAAATCTAAAAGGGAAGCCAAAAACTAGTATGCTACATATAGGACATGGTATTTACTCACTTAAACATATGATTTTTGCTTATACATCATGATGATCATACGCTCTTTGTGAAACGGCTCTTGTCGCTCATACGTTGAGCCCGTGCGTCAGCGTTTTGTCAGCGCGCGTCCGAGTCATTGTTTATAATGAGTAGCTTCATAAGAGAACTGATGGTTAGTTGCGTACAGTCTGATCTTGCCAGATCTGCACAACCACCGATACAAGCTATAAAGCTATAAAGTAGATACTGCAATATTAATTTGCACAACAGAAAATCAAAGATAAATATGGGTTGCATCCTGCGAATAATAAAATGAAGATCCAATATTACAAAAAAAATACAGGGATGTGTCATCTGTTGTAGTAAAGGACTTTGTTGAATTAACAGAAAAACTGGCAACAACTACTGACTTTCATAACGGTGACTGTTTCTTTACTTTAGCCAAATGTATTGTTCATTATTAAGGTGCTCGCACGTAGTTATGTAACAGTTGGGTGACTTTTTGTTCATGAGCTTCGGCGATATGCCCTTGACGGAACTATCACCCGGTTCGTATATGAACATGTAATCTCCATCGAGACCCCTTCGTCCCCCATGTCATCAAAAATAAGCAAAGCAAGACTCCCCGACTCCCCACCCCCATTTGCGTAGACAACGAAATACTGATAAACGAAATAAAAATGCAATTGTTGATCATTGCATCGTTGCAACAATGTTCTTTAGTATTGTACCTTTTTTTATTCCTAAAAATGACAATTGCACAGATAACAGATACATTAATATTCATCTTGCCGAATAAAGAAACTGCGTAATTGTCGCCCTACGTGCGTATAACAACGACAATAAATTTATTGTGACTGTAACAAAAGTCACTAGTGCGCACTAGACCTCGAGATCAACAAACGGTCCTGATCATACGCTCCATGTGAAATGGTTCTTGGTTGTAGAAATCTCTTCTTTATCGTAATCTTCTTCCTGTTCTTCATCTTGCCCGTCCAATGTTAAACTGATGAACGTACAGTTTCAATGATTTCATTACTAGTCAGGTTACTAAGAGTAACAACTTGATTGCCAATGTTAACATAGCGTCCCATTCCGCGACGTTTATTTCCGCTTGCGATATTGTAGCCAACTATACGAGTGGTACAGAACATTTACCGAACACAGCATGCAAAAAACATTTTTAATTGTATTTTTCTCCTCAATATCGCTCATTATTTTCTGTGCATTTTCTATAGGTATATGTAGTAGGTCTCGCATTGGGAACTACAAATTAAAGCGAATTAAAACGTTAGGTCGATGAAAATTTAAAAAAATCAATTCTCGAAATGTGAAGTCACGAACTATGAAGAAACCTTTTTAACATACACACCTGAGATTTGTCAGTAATGGATTTTCTGTAAATCATATTAAATTATAATTACCTGCGGGTGGAGTCTCACGAAAGTTAAATAGCAATTAAATGATAACCGCATTATCCCTTTACTTGAACTGTATACTTATATAAAATGTACTTTGTTTTTTATTTTCGATATGACTCCTCCAAAAAGTTGAAATTATGAAATGAATACCATTTAATCAAAACAGACATTCACAAAATTTACCGATAAATCTCTAATAATTATGTTTTTTTTTATAGTTTCCGACATCAACGATAATCCTCCCACATTCTTGGATTCTCCTTACCTAGCCTACGTTATGGAAAATGTCATACCACCGAATGGAGGTTATGTTATCACCGTGCATGCTTATGACGCGGATTCGCCACCATTCAATTCACTTGTTCGTTATTTCATTAAAGAAGGTGACACAGACATTTTCAAAATTAATGCTAGTACCGGTGAAATTTCACTTCAGAGATCTTTGGATAGGGAACTACAATCTGAATATACCCTTTCGCTAGTGGCGCTGGATACAGGTAAGATCACAAAGTTATTAAACACATCATTTTTTCTTTGTTAAATAATATCCTAACAAATATTATAAATGCGAATGTGACAATGTGAATTTGTTTGTTTATTACTACTTCACGCCTTAATTACTCAACTGATCGTCATGAAATTTTGTACACATATTGTCAAGGATACAGAAAAAGATATAAGGTATTTTTTATCTAGAAAGATTTCTTTTCGTCTCGATAAAGAAGTACAGTATTTACTGCCATTCTACGCAATGTGTACTTTTAACCTAGAAAATTAGAAAGTTTAGTTTTATCGTGATAATTTTAGTCGGGATTATTTATCAAATTATTGTATTTTCGACGATCTTTGACATGTATTTAGGACATCGACGCGAGCTTAGTCGCGGTTAAAAGCTTGTAACCTGTAAAAGAAAGATTGATAATCAAAAAATTTAAATTTCTGATTAATTCGTAAATGCGTTTATTTTTATTCTATTTACATTACGAGTGAATCGTTCAATCTTTGCAAATTTGTTACTCTTTTTAAAGTGTTTCAAACTAAACCAATTTGATTTCTTAAAGATAAACGAAAAATCAGATGTATTGGCTTACATCCCTTTACATGTTCATAAACTATTTGCTTAAAATGAAGAACAATATGTTTCAAAGCAAATTATAAGGTAAAAATATATATTCACAAAAAATTTGTACCTACATTATGTGAATTATGTCTGTAATCAGTGACGTATTTTAAAATTTAGCCCAGGTAAAAAATTTATTGTATTGATTATTTATTTTTATGGTAGAGGTGCAGTTTACGTTATTTTCCATAAATTGTTTTCGAGTATTGCAATGCGCTCAACAACACAATATAGTAAATTAATACCATAATATACTGTAAGTAATCTTTAACGAAACATTCCACCGACTTCATCCTTCTACTGATGCTAAAGGAAGATTCAAAATTCGCAACAACGCGAGAACGAACCTTCCGTATTTTTAGGTGGGAAGTTACAAGTATATTCATTATCATCATCATAAGGTCGTCAGTCCTAAGACTGGTTGGGCACGTACCTCCACTCTTTCCTATCCTGAGCTAAACTTCGCATTTCCCTAAAACTAGAACAACCCACTTCCTTAACTATTTGTGAACAGTAATCTAACCTAGGTTTACCTCTACCCCTCCTAACTCCTGTTTCTGCCTCTAATATGTCTCTGACTAGACCTTCATGCCTGAGAAGGTGTCCTACCAACCTATCTCGCCTATTTTTATTGACTTCCATAGAGTCCTCTGTTCTCCTATTATTTCTAATACCTCTTCATTTCTAACCTTTTCTACCCACGTTATTCTCATCATTCGCCTATAACACCACATTTCGAAGGCTTCTAACTTTTCCTTTTCCGCCGCGCCCACTGTCCATGATTCGCACCCGTACAACGCCGCGCACAAAACACATCTTTTTCGAATTTAATTGCCACGTCGCGTACATCATTTCTCAATATTTATAAGTATTCCACATTCTTAGATGTTATACGGCCCCTTCATCACATGTTTTTGGTTTATAATGTGCGACCAAACTAGCTCCATAAATTTCTCTAAAATATTATCGGAAAAGGTCCGTTTGCAGGACTAAACCGCCGATTGTGTACGAATGGAGTACTGAAACAGGACCGTATTTAGTACGAAAAGAACACGGATACAGCACCAATTTAAAGGGATACTAAAATTTGAAAATTAATAATTTCTAGTTAATATTACATTGTTTTAATAAAAAGTTAAGAAACTTTATTTTTATTTTTTAAACAATTACAAATTAATAATATTGTTATAACTATTATCACTATCCTCATTATTATGATTAATATTATTAAAGTGGCTATTGTTACTATTTTCATAATATAAACTATATAAAAATTTAAATATCTGATGGATAAATTGGTATTAATTAATCAATATTTTCATTTTTATATACGGTACGTTTCGGTGCTGTTTTAGATGATTTTGTATGTGATGCTGTTTTGGTGCTATTATAGTATGTTTTTTGCGAGACGCTGTTAGAGGGCTCTTTCGATTTTGTTAGGGTAGTATTTTGGCTATAATTTTAGAATTTAAATTTTCATCTTTCATTTGAAGGAACTATTTCGGTGGTATTTTAGGTCACTTCAGATGTTTGGAGGCGATTTGGTGGTGTTATAATTCTTTTTATTTTTACTCGGGTAGTAAGTGATACTGAGCAGATATCATAATCAATAATTAGAGATATATTCGGGACAAGAAACCAATTTCTGTACGATTTCTCTTTTGAAACGGGATCAGGCCCGTCGTATGCGACCGAGACCGAGAACTGCACAATTTGCATTATTTTCCCATTAGTGAAAGGTCCACTATAACTCTTACAATTTATTCAGTCCCGACTGAAATTAGTCGATGTTATTATTTCGAAATTTAGTAAACATTCCAATTTATTTGGCAGTCGGCTGCATTTAAACTGCCTCTAAAGTATCTGCATTAACTAAAACGAGAACATACTTTAAACAAATACAGAAAAAAATAAATGATATGATTCGCTTTGCATTAACTACACTCTTAATCTCGTTATACAAATAGGGGGAAATTTTATTATACAATGTGTCTCGTATTGTATGTGTACCTATAACATTTTTGATTGTTATCCTCCTTAAGCTGTGCTTTTTTTGGCCTTATATTATTTTTCAACGTATTATTCCAAATTAGCTTTCCTTTCCTTATTCGTTGTATATTTGCTCGTTTTATAAGAATTTTTTGAAAGTCTTGTATAAATCAAATTGACGAACCGCTTTTCATTGCCCACTTAGTTTTATTAAAAGTGTCCGAAGTCATTTATGATGTTTAGCATTTTGGTTCGTTCATTTGGAAGCGTGTAGGTATGCTGTAACCGAGGTCTTGCCGCGGTCACAAACGCCGATATGCAGCGCAGCGATCGCGTTCTTTATTTTCACTCTATCGCATTGCGACCTAATGCTGCGCTTCGTTAGTCCAGATGATTTATGCATCGTTTGTTCCGATGGCTTGTATGTCCAATGGACGGACGATCGTCGACTGTTTGTCCATTATGCTATCTCGAAAGGAATGTAAAGAAACATGAAAGGATTGTGCGATTTGGTGATTGCCGTCGTACGATGACGACGACATCTGTGAGACTAAAATCAACTTTATATTATGATCTCTTTCACTCTTTCGGTCCTTCATCTGTGTCTCTATAAATCTTTAGATTTTCACAAATACAACTTTTGTTTAACCAAACAAGTTCTTCCCCCCTATCAGTCACTGTGAGCTCGAAACTGTTAACACCATTGCTTCGAGTGGTCGAAATTCACTATTGAAGTGAAGTGAACAATTTGTTTAATCACTTTCTTTGTGTTAAAAATTGTTTGAAAAATTAAATTTAAAGAAATTATTGGTAAATAGGTATGCAACACGTCGTACACTTCAGCATAAGAAATTGCTAATACAAACTACGTAACAATACTTTGCCCTGTGCTGATAGCACTCATAATTTCTTATATATATTTTTTTAAACGGCTTGCTTTTTTGTCTTGCGTACTAAATTCAAATATTTTTAAACTTCATCTTTACTCCTTTTGATATAGCAGCTACAGAACTGTGGACCGTGGGTATCGTATTACAATTAATGGATTTATTTTATCTATGTATTTGCAGTTATCGATTACTTTTTTTTTACATTTATCGTACGTGCATTTATCTTATCATATCGTCTTTTACATTTACATAGCAGTTTATTGTTATGTATGAAAAATGTAAATTTGTATTTGTAGGTATACATATATAAATTAATATAGGTAAAGGCAAAACTCGAAGAGTTTTATTGTAAACCTGTCAGGGAGAATACGGTACCTTATCCTGGCTCTGAGTTATCCTTGCGGTTGTCATTTTGAATTACAAGAATTGTCACGAAGTACAGTTCTCACGGTTCTGATTACCATCTACATTACTGATTGTTACAAGCAGGACAAAGCGAGCGTTGATTGCGACAGTGTGCTCGAGACCACGTTTTGTCGTCAACTCTTGTTTCTGGTCTATTGGCCGCTCTGCGGACTGACCGCTAACGGGTACCTTCGTCCGCCAGAACTTGGATGAAAACAATTTCTGTTTGTTTACAATTAATACAATTGTTGTTAAAAACCACCTCTTTAGGTCTGTAACGTTCCATTTGAAATCAATTCAGCTGTTTCGAATATTAGCAGATACAAACGCAGAATTTCTTTAAAGGTTCTTTGTATCTTAACAGCATAATTACACATAATCGCATGGGCTTAAAAAAAAGCATTTTCGATATACAAACAGATGCTTGAATTTTATTTATATGTATACCTTGTTGTATAGGTAAAAAAGTCTGTGCAAAATTTGGAGAAATTTTGGGAGAATAGTTTAAAGTACATTTCGATTAATATGAATTAAAAGAAAATACAACGTGCAATTATACAACACGCTACTGAAATGATACTTCTTTAAACACACAAATATCGGTATGTTTCCGAAGCCGGTCCTGTGCGAGAATGGGCAACATAGGTGTCTAATACTGAATGTGAAAAAAGCCGAGCTACATAGATGGAGAATTTAAATTTTACATTATACATGCCGGAGTTGTCTGTAACGAACGTTGCATTGAAGCGCACTCACGGCTCAAGTGATCCCCACTAAGAGGCATCCGTTGCATGATTTTGTTACATAGCAACTCGCATGAAACGAACTTACCCTACCGTGCGTAAAGATGTTTCACTTCAACAAAGCAGTAAATTAATTGCATAGTAGAGGATAACTTACTTAGTCGCCAGTTTAATTAATTTCGATCCTTGTGAGAGTTGTATGAATTTCGAGGCGTGATTGGACAAAGTATGGAATTTTCAAGTGGATGTCTTAGAATATGATAAACACATATGTATGCAGGTGTAATATATTGGGCTGTGATTCACCTCTCCGTTGAACTTAATTTACATTGAGTAAATTTATAATAAAGAAGCATTGAAACTCATTACGTGTTTTAGTTGATTACATAAAAGAATAAGTGAAGTAAAATTAATATTTGAGAATATGTCTTTATACATAAATGTAGTGGTTATTTATGTTCATTATTTTAATAAAAATACTTTTTATTGTGGTTTATTCGATTCACTGATGTCGTAATTTCTATTTTTAATCTTTATTTTATATCCCATTTATATTCTTCTTTCTTCTATCAGGTCGTCATTAAAATATATTCATTAAATGTGCATAACAACCCTTTTACTATTGTGCAGTACAGTACAGAATTTATCAGCACGCTTCTATTTATAGCCCTGCTGTAATTATAAACAGTAGCAAAATGTTTTTAAATAAATAAATTAAATTAAATTAAATTTAAAATGATACTAAACTACACGATTACAACCGCCGTGAACTATTTTACTTTCTACGAACAATGTGCTACAAACATAATACAAATGTGAACTTAAATCTACCTCATTGTAGATGTAGAGATTGTAAATTCGGCTGATTTTATGGGTTTTTATTAATTATAGTGGTTAATTCGACAGGAAAGATTTTGTGGTCCTCAAAAATAAACTGTAACTTCAGCCGGTTTGCGCTAAAGTAAACGTAGAAAATAAAAGCATCTTGTAAGTGTCAAACGCGGATGATGATATTTCTTATAATATGCGTATACATGCAATCCCTTTGATATGGGGGGGGGGCGGTTGGTCTCTTAATTGGTAGATTTGCTGCTGTCAACGGAAAAATTAATATTTTAAGTTATCTGAAAGTAACTTCACATTAGTATTGCATAAGTTTTTAAAATGTATAAGCGAAATCTGTTCATTTTGTTAAAGATGGTTATATGCTAATATACACGTATGATAATTACATTACTAAAAGAAATTTCTACTTTCCTGTTTTACTGTGTATTATTTTTATTTCAATAATACTTAAAGCAAAATGTAAGTCTTCTCTCCAATGAACATATATTTGCGATTTGAAAGCGATAAGGAACGGTACGTCCAAACCCTCACCTACTCGGTAATCATAACATTAAAAACGTATACGTACTTTAAGTTCTTAAAAGGGCAGGCACTGCAAAACTAAGTTTCAATTTATGTCGTTTTCGCTCATCCTATTAGATTGTCGTGATGAACTGTAATTATTTACCTATTTAATTTTTACATATTTCGTTGATTCTATTTTATGGCTAAATTATTATGGGCATATTAAATAAAAGCACTTCATTAACCCCCCAAAACGTAATTTGGAATTTTAATTTTCAGTTTTTGGAGGTAAATATTAAAGAAAAAAAAGAAATGTTGAAGATGTTGTACAAGCTTTACGTGAATCTAGCACCACAACATTGAATACTGAATACCTTTGACATTTTAGGGGCTTTTCGACATTTTTGATATTCATTCCGGCTGTTTTATTGTGCCATTTCGGAATTTAAAAATTTCAACTCGAAAATAGAATAACATTTTTATCCGCCAACATTTTTTCGACTGATGATGATAATATTTCTCAGAATAAGTAATAAAAAATATAGTATACTTCAAAAAATATCATTAAAATTAATAGGTACTTTATCAAGAAAGTAAAAAAAATGGATGAAGGTATATCAACTCGAGAGTATGGGTAGGGAGTGAGATATAATGAGACAAAATATGAATATCATAGTGATACCTAATAAGTCATATCTCGTTTATATCGGTTCTCACCCGAACCACCACCCACGCATTCCTACGATTCTTGAAAGGAAGCTGAAGAGGGCCTTCCGCCCTACCTTCCGACATAGTCGGAAACACCCAAAAGTTTTTTTTTATTGGTTTCAGTGTTGCAAAAAAATATAGATTCAATTACTTTTTATGTGAAATACAGTGTTTTTGCATACTACTATATATGAATATGTATTCCTTCAGCAGTTTGCTGACTATTGTTTATTTCTAAAAATCATTAAAATTGTGTAATTTTGATTTAGCAACGTTGCTCAATGAACAATTTCAGTCTAAAAACATAGCAGAATTTGTCACAATCGATAATAACCTCAGGTGTTTTCATATACTAGAAGGAAAATATAAGGAAATTCATCAACTAGAAAACCAGAGAATCAATCGGCTGGATTTAAAGTCAAAAAGGAATATATAGTAACTTTTAATAGAAGCGGCAGTATTCTCACTTTATTATAGTTCACAGTGAACCATTACGGAATTGAACTTAGGTCAAATACCTTAACAAAAATGCTATTCATTTTTGTCAGCCGGCTATAATACAGATGCGAATCATGAGAATCGGGACAGCTCTTGAATTTTCTATGCCGACCGATAGCCGTTGCGATAAAAAAGCATGCACCGAGCTTCAGTTAGTACTATGATGCATACTATTCACCACCAATAAAGGAATTCACAATACTATACACTACATATTTGTGTGTGGATATTAGTAAATTGCAAATAAAACTAATGTTACTAATACTTTGTTTATTCTTTTTCAATAAAATGTCATGAATTTTCAATGTGGTTATGCTAAAGTTTCACATGTAGATAATAATATTTTGCATCATCTCTCCATGAATTGAATGATAATTAATTTCTATAGAATTTTTATCACTTTTCAACATTATATATTCCCCACATCCCACTGTTTCAATTTCTAGGTACTGGTGCGACAAGAATTTTAAACAGGAATAGGAATGTAGTTGAAATGCATTTAAACTTCGTTTGAGTTTTTCCAAATATAATTACATAGATCCATTACCAAATAAATTTAAAAACTTTAACTCCCATTGATAATGTTTTCTAGTTTAGCAATGAACGATTAATAAATAAAGAATTAACAGGTATATTATATATGCCATATCTACTTTTAATTTTTCTTTTGTCTTCTAGGATCTCCACCGTTAACTGGAACAGGATTAGTAAAAATAATAGTACAGGATGTTAATGATAACAGTCCTCAGTTCAAGAGACATATTTATCATGCAACAATAACAGAGAATAGTCCTGTTGGCACTTGGATAATAACTGCTATAGCTTCCGATAAGGACACAGGTCTAAACGCAAAAATTCGCTATTCGCTTCTTGGTAATAAAATGGACCGATTTAAAGTAGATCCTGACACTGGAGTAATAACTAGCGCTGCACTTTTGGATCGTGAAGAAACAGACGTGTATTATTTGACGCTAATGGCACAAGATTGTTCACCTACAGAACCCAAAGCTGAAGCAGTCAACTTAACAATTTCTATATTAGACGAAAATGACAATTCGCCGACATTTTCAAACTCAAAATATGAAATTCATATATCGGATAGTACAAGGAAGGGACAGTTTGTTTTCGGAGCAAAAGCTTTTGATAATGATATTGAGGCAAACAGCAAGATAACGTATTCATTATCTGGAAGACACGCTTATAATTTTGTGATTAATTCCCACACCGGAGTAATTAAAGCAAATCAAGATCTTCATAAAAGTTCTACGACCATATTCAATTTAGAAATAGAGGCACAAGATGGTGGTCAAATTCCCAAGAAAGCTAGCGTGGAATTAAAAATTTATTTAAGTCCTTCACATCTATTTCCCGTCTTCTCACAGCCCATTAACGCACAATTTACCTTGACCGAAAATGTAAAAGAAGGAAAAGTGATCACAAAATTCATAGCTGCAAGTCCCAAACCTGGCCCTGCGAATAATGTTAGGTACGCTATTGCTGGTGGGAATATTGGGGATGCATTAAGGATTGACAGAATCAGTGGAGAAGTTCAAGTAGCGGGAAAAGGATTGGATTACGAAACATCGCACCAATACGAAATATGGATTGAAGCAAAAGATTCTGATGTGCCGTCGTTAACAAGTTTTTTATCTCTAATAATTAATGTGACCGATGCCAACGATAATCCTCCAATTTTCCAAATGCCTCTTTATAATGCATCTGTTTTAGAAGAAGAAGCTCCCTATCAGTTGGTTGTAAAAGTAACAGCATCTGATGCCGATTCGGGAGAAAACGGAAAAATATATTACCGATTATCCGGCAACTCTGAAACTTCATTCGAAATGGACGAAGAAAGCGGAGAAATTTATACACGAGTTCGTTTAGACCGAGAAGAAACTGCAAGTTACGAATTAATAATAGAAGCAATAGACCACGGTTTTACACAGTTAACTGGTACAGCCACTGTTGTGATCAATGTTTTAGACAAAAATGACAATCCTCCGAGGTTTACCAGACTTTTTAGTGTGAACGTTACAGAAAACGCGGAAATTGGGACGTTTGTGATTCAAATAACTAGCACCGACCAAGACATTGGCGAAAATGCCAATGCAACGTACAGTTTTGCAGAAAATCCTGGTGGTAAGTTTACCATCGACCCTATTAGTGGAAACGTAACTGTCGTCGGAGCTCTGGATAGAGAGCAACAGGACGAATATTTACTAAAAGTTGTAGCATATGATGGGGCATGGAGACAAGAAACCCCATTAACAATTACAATACAAGACCAAAACGATAATGCGCCAGAATTTGAGCATTCGTACTACAGTTTTAATTTTCCGGAACTTCAAAGAGACGTAGTTACTGTAGGCCAAGTAACTGCAACAGATCGAGATAAACAAGGACCTAACTCTGTCATTAGTTATTCTCTCCAACAACCGTCAGACTTCTTCACTGTTGATCCTGCTTCGGGAGAAGTTTGTAGCAAACGAAGTCTTCGATATAAACACAGCCAACTAGAATCTTCACCAGAAAACACATATTCACTCACTGTTTTGGCTACAGATAATGGAAAACCTCCAATGTCTTCCGAATGCTTAGTTATTGTAAATATCGTCGACGCTAATAATAACGCACCTAAATTCGAACAAAGGGAATATCTCTCGCCCATACCGGAAGATACGATCGAAGGCAAAAGACTACTACAAGTAACAGCCGAAGATAAACTAGATGTTGGTGTTAACGCTGAGATAGAATATTCTGTAGTAGGTGGAAATGGATCTGATTTCTTTATCATAGACAAACTCACCGGATGGATAAGTCTTGCTAAGAAAGTTACGGGTGTTGGCATACTGTATGAGTTACGAATTTCGGCAACCGATAAAGGGGTACCGCCACAAAAAGACGAAGTGACAGTCACTTTAATAACATCAGGAGAAAATAAATTCAGTCCTATTTTTACTGCGCTTAGTTATCAAGTCATAGTCCCAGAAAATGAACCTTTGGGTTCGACCATTCTTGTCGTAAGTGCTTCAGATAATGACCAAGGACCGAACGGAATGATCAGGTACGAGATTTCTGGAGGAAACGAGCGAAAAGAATTTTCAATTGACTCTGTTTCTGGGGCTATAACGATCTCACAACCCCTCGATTACGATACAGTACAAGAATATCGTTTGAATATCACGGCACAAGATCTCGGCTTCAAGCCTCACAAAACTACAGCGACCCTTACTGTAACATTAACTGACATCAACGATAACCCTCCCACATTCAATCAAACACAATACGAAGCATTTATTGCAGAAAATTTACCTGCATCTAGTTTCGTATATCACGTACAAGCTACCGATATAGACTCCCCCAAAAATGCAATTATACGCTATTCCATTTCGGACGGTGCTGGATCTGAATATTTCTTGATTGATAAAAGCAACGGAATAATCACTAGCAAAATTAGTTTTGATTTTGAAGAGGATGACTTTTACAGCATCAAAATTATAGCGGCAAATCCAGATTCCACAATGTTCGGATCTACCGACATTCTAATCCATATAACAGGGGTAAATGAATATTATCCAAGATTCATACAGCCAGTCTTTCATTTCGACGTATCTGAATCCTCTGAGGTAGGAACTAGCATTGGTGTCATTCAAGCAACAGACCAAGATTCTGGCGAAGACGGAAAAGTCTATTACTTACTGGTTGGTTCAAGCAATGACAAAGGATTCACTATCAATTCCAATACAGGCGTTATATCAGTTTCTCGTAACCTCGACCGCGAAACTCAAAGCCGTATTGTACTAACAGTTCTCGCTAAAAATGCTGGAGGTATCAGAGGAAACGACACTGACGAAGCACAAGTTATTATATCTGTACAAGACGGTAACGATCCTCCTGAATTTTTACAAGACGTTTATGAAACCGAACTATCTGAAGGTGATCCGATTGGTACTAAAGTTGTAACAGTTAAAGCCATAGATAAAGACGTCAGACCACAGAATAATCAATTTAGTTATTCAATTCTCAGCGGAAATCCAGAGCAAACGTTTAAAATAGATCCTCAAACAGGAGAAATTGAAACACTACGAAAATTGGATAGAGAAACGATACCGCTATATACTTTGATAGTCGGAAGCATCGATACTGGTGTTCCTCCTCAAACGGGAACGGCAACAGTTAATATTCATTTAAATGACATAAACGATAATGGCCCAATCTTCAATCCGGAACAAATGATTGGCCAAGTATCAGAAAACGAACCCCCGAATACCAGCGTGATGATCTTATCAGCAAATGATCCTGACCTACCTCCAAATGGAGCTCCGTTCTCGTACAGAATCGTAGGGGGTAGGCATAAGGACTTCGTAAAAGTGGATAAACATTCTGGTCTAGTCGTGACAACGAGAAGCATTGACAGAGAACTTACACCGGTGCTTGATTTAGTGGTGGAAGTTGAGGACAGCGGAGTTCCGAAAATGAAATCCAAGCATAACATTAAAATTGAAATACTCGACGAAAACGATAGTCCATCGAGTTCAAGATCCGTCCATGTCCTCGTAAATGTATTTAACAATGAATTTCCAATTGGTAAAATAGCCGACGTACATCCAAACGATCCAGATATCGTAGGTGATTATAAATGTAAAATATTGCAAAGTTCACCAGCTTCAAATGTTCTTTCTATTAAATCGGGTTGTAAATTGTACGCTTCAAAAGCAACACCTGGTCACGGGTATTCCCTTTCGATATCCGGAAATGACGGAAGACACGCTGATGTCATCTCAACCGTTACTGTAGAATTCAAATACTTCGATAATAATACCGTCGAAAATTCTGTGACTATAAGAATTCAAAATTTAACCGCTCGACAGTTTCTAATAAACCATTATCGTGGATTATTAGAATTATTAAAGGGCAGTTTAAATGCCGAAGAATCTCTAATATTTTATGGTCTTCACGAAGATGAAAATGCTCTAGAAGCTATAATAGCAATTAAAGATTCTTCTTCATTCAGGACAAAATCTTACGTTATCGATAAGCTAGTTAAGAAACGAGAGGCAATTAAAAAGTTGTTACATGTTAATAACATTCAAATAGGATATTCCCCATGTGCCAAAAACTTATGCGAAAACGGAGGTATTTGTTCTGAAGACATAACAGTTAAACATAAAACCGAAACAGTGGATAGCCCAAGCCTGATTTTTACGTCTCCGTTAATTGTTAACGATCACAGTTGTCAGTGTATAGGGGGATTTTCCGGAGAGAACTGCGAAAAAAGACAAGATCCTTGTCTTCCGAATCCATGCAAAGCTGGAGGTCAATGTAGACGTCAAGGTTACAATTTTTACTGCGTATGTGCACGTTCTAGAGACGGGCGCTTCTGTGAATTCGAAAAGAACGATGCATGCTCCGAAAATCCATGCCAAAACGGAGGAACGTGTCAAGAAAGTCCAGATGGTTCCTTCTTCTGTCTTTGTCGTCCAGGTTATCGTGGAAACCAATGCGAAACGCTGACAGATTCTTGTAGACCGAATCCATGTTTACACGGCGGCCAGTGTGTCAGTTTCAAACCAGGCTACAAATGCATTTGCATCGACGGAAGGTACGGAAGGCATTGCGACAAATCTACTTACGGTTTTCAAGAACTTTCTTACATGACATTCCCACCACTGGATTCTGCAACAAACGATATTTCTTTCATCTTTGCCACTACAAAGCCAAACGCTCTTCTTGTGTACAACTACGGCATACAAACTGGAGGAAGAAGCGATTTCGTTGCAGTCGAACTAATCAATGGACGAGCAGTATTTTCGTTTGGAGGAGCAAGAACAGCGATAACTAGTGTTACTGTTAAAGGGAAAACTAATAGTTTAGCTGATGGTAACTGGCACAAATTGATCGCTACGAGGAATGGAAAGGTAGTATCTCTTAGCGTCGCTTCATGTACGGAAAATGGTAATGTTTGTGAAGAATGCGTACCAGGAGATGTTTCATGCTATGTGGACGACATTGGACCAACAGGGTAAGTACAGCAGCACACTTTAGAATATTAAATGTGATTACGTTTGTATTTTTATTTTACAGTACCCTTAACTTCAATAGCCACCCTCTTCTCATTGGTGGTCTAATGAGCGCTGATCCTGTTTTGGAGAGACCCGGTCAAATTCATTCGGACGATCTCGTCGGTTGCGTACACAGCATCTCAATCAACGGACGTCAATTAAATCTCAGTAATCCAATTCATTCGGAGGGAGTGGAACCAAAATGCTCCCACAAGAATTCCTGCAGCAATACCATCAATCCTTGTATGAATTTCGGTTCCTGTGTGGACCGTTGGTATACAGCAAGCTGCACTTGTGGAGGAACTGTTGTAGCTCCAAATTGTGGAAGTGCTCTTCGGTCCGTTTCGGTCAGCAATGGCGGATACATCGAATTCGTAATTTCAAAAAAACACAAACGTATGCAACTTCTCGATAATCTCTACAGTGGAACCGCAGGGTGGCATCATCATTACAGTATAATAAGAAAAAGACGATACGTGGTGACTAATGCAGAAACTTACGACGAAAACACTTCTTCCTTGCAATCACATCGAGGTGTAAGGTCGGCAGGATTGTTGAATACTAGTGCGATTTACCTAACATCGAAACGTGTTAGTTTTTTGTTTAGAACGATCGCAAAAACGGGAGTGCTATTTTTCGCTGCTAGTAATAAACATTATACATCGGTCGAGCTAATAAATGGGCAACTGATGTACATAAGTAAATTGTCCCATACAGTGAACGTAACTGAGCCACATAAAACCGTTAATGACGCCCAGTGGCATAATTTGACTTTAAACATTCAAAATGACGTGCTTCGAATTCTTATCGATGACGAAAAACTTGGGGATGACCTCGATTCAAATGGCGTACATGATTTTTTAGATCCTTATTTGACAACACTTACTTTAGGTGGAATAAAAAGTGGCAATTATCCTGATAATTCCCATCACAGTTCCAATATAGCAACGAATTCATTCGAGGGATGTTTCGCAAACTTCAGTGTCAATAACGAAATTCAACCTTTCAACGGTTCAGGAAGCATTTTCAATCAAGTTGTGTTGCGCGGAAAGATATCTGAACATTGCTACGGCCCTGTCGGTGTTGGGACGGTGCCAAATCCCGATCCTCTCAGTATCGGAATCACATTGGTCATTGTATTTTTCGTTGTACTCTTAATTGCAATATTAGTATCGTTTGTTGTTTTCCGTCTTCGTAAGCAAAGTAAAGAAAAAGGAAACACATCAGGAGGTGCATCACCGGTTCATAGCAAACAGAACGGAGGTAACAATGGGCTTATAAATACCAGCAACGATAACCTTCTAGGAAGACCACTCCACACGAATGAGACTTCCATGGCTTACCATTCGGAAAATGGAGACATAATCAGAGGAGTTGGTGGTCACCATATTGTAGGTCCCGAATTACTTTCGAAGAAATTCAAAGATCGGGAAATTATTCAAAATGAAATTCAACGTCCTCAAAGGCCAGACATTATTGAAAGAGAAGTAGTTAATAAAAATCCTCCCATGAGGGATGACCATCCACCGCTTCCTCCAACTTCAAATCATAATCACGATCACGGTCCCACTGATTTGAATTCGGAAATGCCCGAACATTACGATCTAGAAAACGCCAGTTCGATCGCACCTTCAGACATTGATATAGTGTACCATTATAAAGGATTCCGGGAAGCAGGAGGAGTTCGTAAATATAAAGCAACACCTCCACCTATCAGCAGTTACCATCACAAACATACATCTGTGCAGGGTCAGGCGCAGCACAGACATTCTCCCCATCACCCTACGGGATTTCCTCCCAGAGCTCCGCCAGTCACAAATCCCTCATCCCGACCACACCAAACAACACCACTAGCGCGTCTCAGTCCCAGCAGCGAAATGAGCGCTCAACAACCGAGAATTTTAACGTTACATGATATAAGCGGCAAGCCTTTGCAAAGTGCCCTTTTAGCAACTACCTCAAGTTCCGGCGGTGTCGGTAAAGACGTTCTCCATAGTAATAGTGAACGTAGTTTAAATAGTCCTGTGATGTCTCAATTAAGCGGACAAAGTTCGAGTAGTCATAAACCGGGCGCGCCACCCCAAGTCACTTCGTCATCCCCAGGTATGGGATTAACAGCAGAAGAGATCGAAAGATTAAATTTGCGACCGAGAACTTCCAGTTTGGTTTCTACTTTAGACGCGGTATCTAGTTCTAGTGAAGCACCTCGAACCGCTGGTGCCAATCATCTTTCTCACATGCGCCATTCTCCAGTGCCAGAAACCCACCACAGTTCTACATCTTCAGACGAGAGTGGAAACGATAGTTTCACATGCTCGGAAATAGAATACGATAATGCTAGTCTAGCAGGGGATAAATTTAAGTCGAACGAGCCTGATTCTCGAAGAAACAATTCTAGTTCTAATAGTAAAAATCCTGTGCCACCACCTTCCTATGATGGTTTCGATTCCTCTTACAGAGGCTCCATGAGCACATTGGTTGCTTCAGATGACGAATTAGGAGGACCATTATATAGACCTCCAACAGGTTCGCCTTCCACTACGGCTTTAAGTTGGGATTATTTGCTCAATTGGGGACCTAATTTTGAAAGCTTGGTGGGTGTATTTAAAGACATTGCTGAACTTCCCGACTCTGTTAGTGGAAGGGCGCCTTCATCCCTGAGGCTAACCAATGCTCCGAAACCTTCTGAAGAGTATGTATAGCGCAATACGACTGATTAGTGATAACGTAATTATTAATTAATTAACATTAAATAATGCCAATGACGTAAGAATCAGAACATTTGGTATTCGAATATATATACATATATATACAATTACATACTCGTACATTCATATATATGTATAAGTGTAGTTAAAAAAAATAGATAAGAATTTTCGCAAAAGAAAATAATCTTACGTCAATGGACTCCGTATTTGTACAATTTCAGCCTTGTATCAAGGAATGAAAACCTCTTGCCATATGTTTTTGTAATAATTCTGTACGATATACTTACAAAATGAAAAATGTTGCCTATTTTTTAAAAAATTTGTAAATATTTTTATACTGAAACTGATTCTAGAATACTAAAGATAGATACTAAAATCACAAAATTAAGATATTCTCTGGTAATGTGTACCACATACAATATAAAAAAATATTTAAAAAATTAAACAAATTATGAAATCCAAATTAATTTTATCAACTTATTGTCAGCTAAAAAATAAAGAAAAATACAATATAATTGTTTTTTCTTACTTACGTACAACTCGGCTAAAGTATCTGTAGCTACGATAGATGTATGCGCAGTGACAAAGTGGAAGGGATCTAACTAGAAGACATTCCGTTTAAAGTGTTGAGTAGTGGTCATCGTGTACAGCCTGTGTAAAATCTGAAATGATCAATTTCGCAGGCGGTATCAAAATAAGGTTTATTTGTTCCTCTATACTTGCTATCGCTCTCTTTTCCGCTTGTATGCATCACGCGGCTACAGATTCGTTGATCGAGTTGTACTATTTAAAAACAAAATATCCGCAGCTTAAATTAAACTCCAGTATAAGTAATACTTTTATCCTGCAAGTACTAAAATTTACTGTACTTGAAAGGTGTCGAAAACCACACTAGGAATTATGAATGAATGATGTTATGATCCATCCAGCTAATTCTAACCGTCTTTATGAGTTGTATACCGCTGGGCCGATTTCTGTTCGCAGTCATAGTGAAACTGCTTTTTTATTAGTATTCTTACTAATTTTGAATAGAGGTAAAAAGAAAAGAAAGTATGGAACAATTTCATTAATGGGGTTTTATGATTAAATATGGTAGTTGGGTCTCTAAAGACAATCAAACCACAATGTGTCCTAAAAAAGCACTCCTTTCAGTTTTCTCCAAATAATTCAAAAAAGAAGCAATTTTCGAGATTTGTAGAATATTATAATTTCAATGGAAATACTTTATTCAATTTTCTTTTTAATGTCGAATATAATTAAAGAACAAAGTAAAAAATTTCAAGTAAATCGCCGTTCTCTTTTTTTTTCATAAATCGTCTGTAACTTTTTGCCTAGGCAATTTAGGTGTATACAAATGTTTAGCAAAAAATGAGAAACAGCACCTTTTATTCTTTTTTGTTTAAAATATATCGCTGGAAAATCCAATTTTCTAAAAATAAAGTACTGTAAAAATTTTGAAAATTGCATCATTTGTGTTATTTAGAAAAAACTGAAAGGTGCCATTTTTAAGATTACTCAAAACACTCCCTTAGAAATGGGACCCTTTGTGGTTTTATTCCATTAACAACGTTTGACTAGGTGCTTCCATCATAATACTATAAATGACTAAAAAAAACAAAAGATCACCAATGTATTGAATTTCTTATACTTGAAAAAAATCGAGTTCAGCTGTTCATTTACGAGCTTGAACTATTTGAACTGAACTTTCAAGTCCACAAAAAAATAAAAACAAAAAAGAAATTACATCATTTATCGCAAATAATATGCAGTCTGTAAGATACAATACAGAACCTAACACGTAATTCTAAATTTGGATATTTATCATGTCGAAAGAAAGACAATTTCTACTAGTTTTATTACAAATCAATAAAGCATCGACATTGAGAATGGGCTGCGCATTCTTTTTCTACCATCTCGCTGTAAAGTGAATACAGACAGCAACTTGAGAAATAAAACGATAGTGCGGCCAGTAGATGTCTTTTTCGAGAATTTTGATTGGTCTATGTCATAGTTTTTCAAAAGTAATTGAACAAAGTAAAGAAAGAGGAAGAGACAAGTATTGGCGGCACGGTCGTTGTGTGTGTGAGTGGCCAATTTCATGAGGGTATTGTTCAGTCCATCGACGTTTACTAATGGACATGCCTTAGCGGCCAGAATTGTGGTACAACAAAAGAAAGAGATGGAACGAAGTTTCGGACAATATCCATCTCTCTCACGATAGTGCCTAAGCATCTCATGCAAGAGATAGCACTAGTCCGAAACCATACGCCATCTCCCTCACTTTTCGAGTCAAGAAATTATTACAACGACATACAGCTAAGGCACGTCCATTATATATGTCTATGATTCAGTCCAATATCCAATTCTCTATGTCTAAGGAATAAAGCAATAAAGTAAAAATTAGTAGAAGGTTTCTTAAACAAACGAGATTTTTTTTATTCTTATTAAATGGATTACTCTTAATGTACACAAGTTAGAAAAGTGGTCTAAGTTTCAAATCAAAGCTCTCAATATTATCTTTACAAGTAAGAAGCGCTTTTTTTTAATGCACTTTTCGTTTTTGTTTTATTTGAAAAAAACCTTAAAACTTATTAAATAAATTCTAGCCACACAGTAATGAGTTTGAACCTTCGGGCAAATAATAGTTTAAGGTGTTCTTAAGAAAAGTAGGAAGCCCAATTTTTTTAGATGTTAAACAAAAATATTTTGGTTTTCTTAGGGATCTGCATGACCCAGGAAACTAGGATAGGCAACCAATGTTGCTCCAATTAGGGTGATTTATTAGGTTCCATTAAGCAATAACTTTTGCTTTGTTATACCTGTGCATAGAAATAAAAGTACATATTGTGTGTATCTGTTCAACCTATTATATGGAGCATTCGTTCACAAACCGGACAGATTTCGACAAAAATTGACCGGCACTTTTTCAATTTGACTGAAGTTTTATTTACTTTTTATATCGAAAAAAAGAAAAAAATCGTGTTCGACGATATTTTAGGAAATAAAAGTGATCGAAAATTTGAGAATTTGGTTATTTTTGGTTTTTCAAAAATTCATAACTGCATCAGCTATATTTGAAGTAACTTTTTTTTTTCATTTTAAAACTAAAAAAAGTTACTAAATTGTTTCAATAAAAATTAATAAAATATTATTGTTATAAACAATTAAAATGTTTAAATCGGTTTTAAACAATTGCCC